AGCCTTCCGACCCGAGCAAGGAGAAGCAGTAGCCTCGGCAACGACTTGTAGGATGATGAACGTCTGTAATGTTTGTAATGTATGCTCTCTAGACGTGAGCTGGTTCGGCCTGATGTATGTATGACGATAAAGCCCCGCTCCGATAGACAGACTCTTCTCTTTTGCTTCTGGGTCGGGCTAGAATCATGAAGTTCCGTTCCGCCTGATGACGAGTTGGTGGACTTGTTCAATGTGGCCAGAAATGGGGTCCATGAGATTTTACGTAGCCTCGGTAGCCGAATACATGTGGAAGCCGTGGGCTCGAAGGGCCGGTAGACATCCACAGATACACATCAACCCGAATGCCAACGCAACCCGGCGAGCGGTATCTCTGGAAAAGGGACTTCGTAGCCTGGGCACGAGCGACCCCCACTGCCGTGCGCTCTCGTCCGCGTCGTCGTCAGCCTCGCAGAAGAAATCGTACTCCTCGCCCTCGTGCTCCTTCCAGTGCGCCGCCCGAATGTGGACCTTTGGCTGCTTCTTCTGCTGTTGCTGCTGCTTCTGGGACGACGGCGGCCACGGCGGCTGGTTCGAGGTAGCCATGACAATGAGCCCCCTCGCCGCGACCTCGTCTTGGCGATCGCACTCTGCGAGGATGTCGAGGATCTCGTCCCTCGTGTACATTGTGCTCTCCCGCGTCAGGGCTTCCGACTTCCAGGCCATGGCGGCCTTGTGGCGGAGGAGTCTCTGGGTCGGGCTCACGTCGCCGCGGCCCTGTTGGCGTCTCTTTTCGCGCAGTTTTTGGTGGCAGCGTTGCGGTGCGACGGCGTGGACGTCTGGGTTTAGGGGTGAGGGCACGAGAGGGCTGTAGCCTGCCCGGTTTGGTAGTTGTGACATTTGAAGCATTTTTCTGTGACTGTTGTGTTGGTGCTTCTTTTCTTCTTCGTCTTCTTCTTTTTAGGTGTGTTTGTCTAATCCGTGTAGTGGTATTTTGCTTGTCTGAAAGACGTGCAATTAGGCGTGTAATTAGGGCGACGATCGGTTGAGAAGGATGTGGGTTCTTTAGTTTCTGTGGGAGAAAGAAGACATGGGTCGCTTTCGAGAGGGTGATGGTGAATTGTTAACCAACTGTTATCGACATGGTGTTGCAAAGGAGGATTATGATTGCTCCGGGAAGGGAGAGGGGGGGGGGCTGGAGGAAGGTGGCCAATGTCAATAATGGAGGCGATTAAAGAAAAAGTGCGAATTGGTATGCTGGTGTGGTTGTGAAGAGATAGCCGCGAGATATGAGAGATATGGAGCTGGACGCCCGTCTGGAATGTCTCTGGAGGGAACTAGACACGAGAGGGATGGAGCCGACGTTCCTCCCTGGTGTCAGTTGCGAGATTTCCACCCTGCAACTGCAATGTTCCACACGATTTGGCGATTGGATGTGATAAGCCCAGGCATTCAGTCAAAAGGTAGAAAGAGAGACGAGCAGGCATAAACACGGACAACGAGAGGATGAATGTGAATGGAGATTTTGCGAGAAGAGCCACGGATTCAAGTGCGGGCATGTCGGGTGTGCCAATTGATATGGGAATTAAAAACCATGGCGGAATCGGCATGCAGGTAATTATCTCTCTCCATCCATCTCTTTCCCTACCTGCATACAGCACGCCACGCCTTTTCTCTCGCTCGCCGTCCGTTCCCCCGATTCCCTCCGTGAGCCGTGGGACCGTGTGGCCCGTAAGCGTGAAGCCCGAAGGTACCTCTCCAGAACCCATGGGGCGTGTGGCCCTGGGCTCGTCCCGTCCCCCCCCAGGTTGGGGTTGGAGTGGAGGACGGGGGAACTCCACTTGCCTAAAACGGCTGCTGGGGCACAGGAAAACGAATCCTCATCGGCCAATGATGAGAGGCCGCCGAGAGATGGACCCAAAGTAGACCAGAGGTTGCGGCAACGTAATACGGTAGAGGGACACGGAGAATGGTGCCTAGACCTAGGTAGGCCTTTGCTCTCTCTCTCTATTCTGCTTCTGGCTGGCCCGCTGTTGGAACGACTGCGTTGCGAAAAGCGTTGACTTGGCCTGGCTGCTTGCCTTGGTCGATCCATCGGTCGGCCGGTGGTGAGTGGGCGTGGGCTCCGGGCGTCCGAGCTTGTGAGATGTACATCCCACTGCCTTGGGAACTCGTTCGTCGTCTAAATGGTTTCTAGACCACGGGCCGTCGTCCGCGGAAGAGGGTCGGACGGGGGTCTTCCAACCACAAGCAGCACACACGCAGGGAGAATGTTGAGGGAACTAGTTTTCGAGCTTCCTACCTAGCATTGGTAGGAGAGAGAGAGCTGGGTGAGGGTGGTGTGCTTTTTGCCATCGGGGTTGCTGTCGACCACACATTACGTGCTGAGTACTCCCTCCAGGGGGCGTAGGACAGACATACTTGTGCCTCGCCCAATGTGAGGTACCTCACATGAAAACCTGAAGAAACGGGGGGTCAGCAAAACCTCGGTGCGAAGAATCAACTCTGGAATCCGTGGTAATCTTTTATCCCCGTCCTCCATAGCGACCAACGGCACGCACAACATTCCCCCGGAGTCCTGTTGCCCTTCCAGTGAATCCAGTCAAGCAAGCAAGCAAAAGCGCGCAAGCCACCGAGGCTTGCTGCTTTCCCATCCATATGTGTTCGGCTCTACCTTGGGTGTGTCATCCCGCCGGACACGCCACTGATGTTCGCCACAGTAGGTATGCAGAGAGCAAAAATTCCGTTTTCAACCGTTGTCAGATGTAAATTGTTCCAATTATTTTGTTTTCCTTGATTTTGTTGCTGCGCCTCGATCTTGTACCTATTTGCTAACACCAATCTGTTTCTTGTAAAAGTAAATAAAAAAAAAGTAAAAAATAAAAAGACGCGCATCAAGAGACAACAAGCCCGGTTCAGCTTTACCTTGTGGAATTCGGACTTGTTTTTCCAGGCAAATAAAGCGATAACTTGGCAGCTTTTTAGAAACCACGCGTTTCCAAGGTTCCTCATGTACTCGGGCAACATGGGACCGAGAAGGGCCTTTTATTTGGTTTAGTTCCCATTCCCCTTCCTTCTCGACGATAACCTTGATAATGATGTCTTATCTCCCTTCCCCAACCCCTCTATCGCAGGCGTGCACGTCCAAAGAGAAGCCCTTGCACCAAGGAAAAACAAAAATTATATGTTGCCATCATCCCTGCCTTCAGTCCGGGGCGAAGGATTTCCAGGGATCGCAATCACAAGTCTGTGTGTATCCGTAATTCAACCCTGAACTTGGTACCGGTATTCGTGCCCCGTACCGACAGAGTCCGAAAAAAAGCCAAGAGAGATCATCGTCGTTCGAATACGTCAATCTGCAAGCGCAGCATCATTGGGGACAGGAACGGCAAAACGTCGCTTTAGGTACCAATTCAACAGTCCACTTCTTGAGACTTTCCTCAACGATTACCTCAGTCAAGTCAACAGGGGCGTTATCGAAACCCCGCGAATGATAGGGAAAATATGGAGCCTGTCCGGGCGGGAGGGGAAGGGAATGGATGCGCCCGTCGCTTTTCTTTCTCTAGGAGCATCCATCCCAAGCAGACATCCTTGTCTCATCTGCTCTCCCGGCTTCTATCCGCGCATGTCTCTCTACATAAGATGCCAAGGTGTAGGTAGTTATCTAATCGCACTTCAGGTCTAGGCTGTCTCTCTCCCTCGGCTCCCTGTGAGGGAAGAAGGGTTGTGAACATGCCATTCACAGCCACGATTGCTTTTTGGACCCGTGCTAGCTTTCTATAACACTGCATGGCAACCATGCGAAAGAGTTTGAGGGGAAATTTGCATGTTTGTGATAAATGTTCCATCTTCTAGTTCACCCCAGGACCCTAGCTAGACGCTATCATGACTAGACAATTCAGTAGCTTTGGATGGGGCATAGGTAGTTTGAGGGTTCCAAGAGATATATCTGCGATTGATATTACTCTTCTGTGGCTTTACTGAAGGTTCTCAATGCTCTTACGTCCTACGACCAACTCGTCATCTGTGATATCTCAGTTATACTACATGGATTTTTTAAAGATGATAAGAACTGCCAAGACTATAAACGACTTTAGTTTCAACGCATCTTGCATTCACCACAAATGGGGTTCTTCCTTTACCCAGCCCATAATCTTCCCTATGAGCATATTGATTTCCCCCTCGATTGTGTGTACATATCTCTACCCAAACGGTACGAGGCTAAAGTGAGAAGAATTGGGGTTAGAAGGCCAAATCCACCTAGGGTTCATATCTGTCGTCGTCTATTCTTTCCCACCACCTCTGTGTTGTCCCTCTCTTCACTTTGACAACATATCACCTCTCCAACTATCGCTTCTAACCAGCATTCGTTTGCATCGATAGCCTGACACTTGACGCGCGTACACTCTGCCCACTTATTAAGCGGCTCTTCGGATACCAAGGGTCGAGTTTCTCTAGAACGATGCTTACACGGGAACGACGGACATCGGCTTACAAGAGGAGTCATGGCGTCGGGAGGCTAAGCCCTTTCCTCCCTCCTTAAGACTCATCAATGGCACTGACAATAGCCATGCTACTAATACGCATTCGTGGTTCACAATACTGTCCTCGTCCTCCACTCCCCTTCTCCACCCAAACCATCCAGATCACGTAGCTTGGAGACAAGCGTCACATCAGCAGAATAGGAAACAACTCCAAAGGATAAGAGTATGGTTTGTGTGGTCATCAATCCCGTAAAGCCTCTATTTTTTGTCACAATAAAAACTTTTGACTACCTTGACCCGCAGGGCCGCAACGCCTGTCCCTCTAGCAGCAAGCAGCCCGAGCCATCGTACCCGGATCCCGTAGGATATCCGGGGGTAAACCAAGAAAAGAAACACGGAAAAACACACGCGGCATTATAGGTATAAGCGTGGAGAATTTTGCAAAGCGTCGTCCTGAGATGTTGGGATTTGGTGGTGGTGGTGGTGATGTACCTGGAAATCGCGCAGGTAACGGTGATTTGGGCCCCGGATGGTGCCATCTCAGTTCGCGGCGGCGGATTGAGGAGTCGAGACTTCGGATTCTCCACCACCACCACCGTCACCGCCTCCTCCGCTCGTGGCCGCAGCAACGGCTGGATTGGCAACTACTTCGGCAATCCTAGGCTTTTTTGCTGCGCGGCCAGAGTCAGAAAGGTCCAGGGCATCTCTGGCCTCCTTCAGCTCCAGCTCCATCTCGTCGAGACGTCGCTTGAGGTTGTTTTCTCTGCGATGGCTCTCGTCCAATTGCTTCTTGCTGCTCTCAAGCTGAGCCCGCAGCTGAGCTTCTGCTTTGCCGCTGATTTCCTGCCCTCTTCTTGCGCTCGCTTCGTCTTGCTCCATTTGGCTGAGTCGACCACGGAAAAGTTCGTTGATCAGCTCTAGTTCGCTAACCCGGGTTTTGAGGGCAGAATTGGCGGCAATGAGCTGCTCATGTGTTTGCGGGACATCGAGGTGTCGGTCGCCATTCAGGGGGGAGCCCGAGCGGTTATCCGAGCCAGAGACGTTGAAGCCCTGCAGTCCAGCCTGAAGTTGCGCATCGTCCATGCCCTGGAAGACCGGGAGGCTAGGGTTGTATAGAGAAGGGGTTGCGGTACGAGAAACGGGAGAGTCAGAGCCGTCCGGATTGCCGTTTGACTTTTGCGACTGTCTGCGCTGGTTCTGCCCATGGATGTCGAGGCCGTTCGGATCGTTTGCGCCAAACTGGTGGGCTTGTTGTTGCTGCTGCTGTTGCTAGTCGCATTATTAGCCACAGTTGGGAAATGTCAACGGATCGTGTACCTTTTTCTTAGATGCAAGATCAGGGCGCATCGTCTTCACGCGGTTTCGGCTCTTGATCACGTCGGTCTTGAGCGAGATCGGACGCGGACGACCCTAATACCGTATTAGCTCGTCTTTCTATGAAAAGGATGCGATACACTCACATGCAACTTGAGGAACAGTCCGCATGCATTGCAGAGGACTGATCCATACTCATCGCGCCGCCACAAGGGCGTGGTTGAGGTCTGGCAGTTTTGGCATGTTGGCTGCGTAGATTCGTTAGCTTGGGTGGCCATCATGATGCGCAACGCCAGCGAAATGGTCGCAAAAGATTCCGTCAAGGAGTTCCAAGTGTGTGCTCCAAAAGAAATGCGAAAAAATATGACCGTTTGCTTGTTCGTGGTGCTTGACGGGGTGAAGCGCGCGATGAGAGTTGGGACTCTGGTCTTGGTGTTGACGACTATCGCTGCATGGGAACAAGAAAACTTATCTGTGGAGCAAAGATAAGACAGGGAAGGAACGACCGCGCCCAGTTGCAGCCCCACACCTGCCTTGCAGGGTACATTGGTTCTTAGATAACAGCAATACCTGAACGGTAATTGCGATAACACTAACGCAGGAGATGGGGGAGTTTTTTTGGGGGTTCGGGATTGGACTCGATGATAAGATACCCGCGATGGTCTCCGTACAAGGTGGGATAGGGTAAGGTAAATACAGACATACCGTGGTGGATCCTCCGCCAGAAGCGTAAGTCGGCGTCGGCACGGGAGCTGGCGCGGGCGCGGGCGCCTGAGTCGGTGTGGAGGCGGCAACGGGAGCGGGCGCGGGAATCGCTTCTCTGTGGATCAAAGTCAGCACATGAAGCTCTCGTCACTTTTGTGTTCACATCTTCTTCCATCCCATCTCGACTGTTTCTTCCACCACTGAAACCAGACTGTGGACTAGCCAATGATATAGCAGCAGAGGGAGATTTGTCGATGGAGCGCAATGGCTGCATCGCCTTCTTTGTCGCCGAAATGGCTTCAAGGTTATACGGCGAGCGCGGGAGTAGCGCAAGTGAATCGTGGCCATCAAGCTGATCGTCCGTCATGTCCCTCTGCGCATTCTTCGTCTCTTCTCCTGACACCAAGCATACTCACGTACCGCATCTGAGGCGAGCTCGTCGCAGAGTTGTTGGCCTGGGCAAGCGCTGAAATGCCTGGCAACTGAGGAACCGTGGAGGCCGCGGCTACAACTGCGGCTGCGGAAGCGGATTCCGAAGTCGACGTGGAACTGGGCCGCGAGATTGTCTCGAGGTTCGTTTGCGGCAACGCAAGGGTAGCCAGAGCCGTGGCTTCCTCCATGACGTCTCGAAAGGAGGGAAGATCGTGATCGTGCTCGTGCTCTGTAATGTTGTCCAATGCCGGAGCAGGCGCAGAAGGCTCTCGAACGGCAGCCAGGATGGCGGTTGCAGCGAAATCGTCGCGGACGGGAGGACTATGTCGAAGGAGGGAGGCTATCGAATGCCGCTTCGCGATCGCAAGGCGCGCGTGTGGTGCAGTCGCAAGTTTTTCGCAAGAGAGACCCACGTACAGAGCTCAAAAAAGTGGCTTGCGAGGAGGATTCAGGTCGAGGCGCGAAGTCGAGGTTGCGAAACGTGTATGTTTGTGTGTAGTCAGGCCTTGGGTGGTAGATGGCAGGTGCAAATACGCAGGAGTGCGAAAAAAAAATTGTTCAGCGGGAAGACGCGCTGGAGGCGACTCAGAAAGGAGCAAATGGTTGAGTTGGAGGGGGGAGACAGGTACGTTCCCTAGGACAGAATTGCGGGGAGGAAACTAAGGTTACAAGGTAAAGCTACAGCCAGGTCTCAGACATTACGAAGGCACGTTGGACACAAAAGCTGGTTGACTTTTGGAATAGGGGAGAATAGATGGAATGGCGAACGGATTGATTTCATCCCGCATCCCCTTAATCGATCAGGATGGAGGGCCAATTTACTGGGGATGGACGGGACGCGATAACTGTCAACTGAGCCTATCGGCGATACTGATTACCCAACTGGTCGTCCCACCGGACCGTATTACGGAAGCCACGATTTGATTGGATCGGCTACCCCATTCAGCCTTACAGCACGCGCTGTGCTGGTGTGTCAGGATCTTGAAGTTTTCTCTCACTGATCATCAGAAAGAGGAGGTAATACTTGGTGTGGTCGCAACGGCCCCAGTACCCGCACGCATAAGCGCTGAAAGAAGGTTCGCTGTTATCTGATATGAAGATCTCACGGCGACGCCGACTCGTAAGGTACCTTAGGGTGGTACGGATACGCTTTGCAGATTCCCGATTCGGAGCGCCGGTGAGAAAACCTCGAAAACTTGGACACATACGTGCAATCGATCACTCTGCTCGGACAAATCTGTCATTCAGAGTGACATGCCAAAACAGTCCTCACCTGAATCCTAACGCTATCCAGTTGTGGCTCTCACGCAGATCTAAGGGTTCGCAATTAAACAGCAACTTTGAAAGCAGTAACCCTTGACTGATTAGAAACGGCGTTCCAATGCGCATTCCCGGAATACACCAAACTCGCAATTGCATTCAAATCGCATAAGTTGTCAAGGTTAAAACCACTAGATTGATACCGTTACTGGTCTCCCACAATGTGAACTGGGCCGACTTCACCTTGAAGATGCCGGATGGGTCCATAAAAACCGGTGTACCCCACGTGCCGTCTCCAGCGTTATCGATAAGAAAAAGTTCGCCGCAGCCACCAGTAAGTAACTACGAAACTTTTCTCGTATACAATTCGGCATCAATTTCATTGTCTTGCAAACACGCGACAACCGATAAGATGCCCTCCACATACAAGAAGGACAAGCCGTGGGACACGGACGACATTGACAAATGGAAAATCGACGCCTTCACACCCGCCGACAACGCCGGCGGCACATTTGCTGAGGAATCCTCCTTCCAGATCGTTTTCCCCAAGTACCGCGAAGTGTACCTCAAGGAGGCATGGCCTCTCGTTACAAAGGCTCTCGAGAAGACGGGCATCGCTTGCTCGCTCGACTTGATTGAGGGTTCAATGACCGTCAAGACGACAAGGTCCGTATTCCAGTCTGCAATAATCTTCTTCAATGCTCGGCCCACTCCACCACAGTAACTAACATGCTGTTCTCTGCCTCCAGAAAAACATTTGACCCCGCCGCCATTCTGAACGCCCGCGACCTCATCAAGCTCCTGGCCCGAAGCGTCCCCGCGCCGCAGGCCCTCAAGATCCTCGACGACGGCGTCGCATGCGACATCATCAAGATCCGCAACCTGGTCCGCAACAAGGAGCGTTACGTCAAGCGCCGCCAGCGCATCCTCGGCCCCAACGGCTCGACCCTCAAGGCCCTCGAGCTGCTCACCCAGACCTACATCCTCGTACAGGGCAGCACCGTCTCCGTCATGGGCCCTTACAAGGGCCTCAAGGAGGTGCGCCGCGTCGTCCAGGACTGCATGGAGAACATCCACCCCATCTACCACGTCAAGGAGCTCATGATCAAGCGCGAGCTCGCAAAGGACCCGGAGCTCGCCGAGGAGAGCTGGGACCGCTTCCTGCCTAATTTCAAAAAGAAGTCGCTCAGCCGCCGCCGCGTGCCGCACAACGTCACGGACAAGACCAAAAAGGTCTACACGCCCTTCCCGCCCGCGCCCGAGAAGAGCAAGGTCGACAAGCAGATCGAGACGGGCGAGTACTTCTTGGGCAAGGAGGCCAAGAACAAGGCCGCGCAGGCCGAGCGCTTGGAGCAGCAGAAGCAGAAGAAGGAGGAGAAGTTGCGCGAGAGGGAAAAGGACTTTATACCCCCCGAAGAGCTCGGCCACAAGAGGAAGAAGAGAAAGAAGAGCGAGGACGACGAGTGAGGGGCAAAGAGGATCTGAGATGTGGAGGAAGCGGAAGAAATTGTGTAGTCTGGGGCAGGTGTCTGTTGTATCTTTGCAGAAAAGGGGTCGCCACGTACGTAGGTGAGGTGTTAGCTCACTCAAGATACCCTTCCATTCAAGAGTTCAAGAGTCTTCTGACATGTCGGCGATCTCCTCAAACTTCACCGCCTGAAGGGTTGTAAATCAAAAGCGAAATGTCAATATAGGGAAAAGTTCACGATGTGTAATGCAATTAACTTGAGAAACCAAGGCGGTGTTCACTACCTAAGCGAGGTGGCCTAAAATTTTCTTAATCTTCAACCTTTGTGTGTCTCCAGGCAAGTTCTGTTTCTTTAGGGCCAATCTTTGCTCATTCCTCCCATTGCTGAGGGCGTGTGATCGAGGTATCGGTCGTGCAGAGGAACAAACTCCAGCATTCGACTGCCCCTTCAGACATCTGTACCGATCTAGCCTCACTTTTTCGGCTTCATCGAGCAATCAAAGGTACGATGATAGTAGTAGCTAGCCGGGAAAGGGCCACCCTCCGGCGATTCGGGATAGTAAATTTCCCATCCTGGGGCGTAGCTGTTGTAGTATTTGCCACCGTACCTAGAGTAGACTGTATTAGTCCTCATTCAACAAGAAGCGATATAAAGTTTTGAGAGGATGATACTTACGCCATGTGAGGCCAGCGGTCCTTGTGGGCAAAGAAGAGAGTGACGTAGGGAAGGGGACTGCAAATTGGCTGCCAGTCGCCCCATTGGAAAGGCACGTTCTCTCCGAAAAGCTGGCAGGCGTTGTTGAAGACCCAGCCGCGGCTAGGCCACTGCCTCCAGCCCGGCCAGTCGGCCTGGCACCAGATACCGAGCTTGCAGTCGCCGACAATCGGGCTTGGAGTACACCAGTTTTGCGGGTCAGGGGGTTCCTTCTCGAGGTCGTAGTTTTCGCCGCATCTCGGGACTCGCTTGCCGATGCTAGAGAGAGATTCGTCGTGCTGCTCAGGGTTGTACTCGATGGTCTCGCGCTTGCGGTCGAGGCCGGCGGTCTTGACGAGGTGGGCCCAGATCTCTTTGTTGACGGGGATGACCTTGTGGCCGTGCTTGAGGGCCTCCTCTTCGGTGATATTGAGGGGATTGTCGTGGGGGAAGTCTCTGGGAGCAAGGTGAGAGCCAATGGAGAAGTTACGCTTGGAAAGACCGTTGCTGAAGGTGGCTTCAGTGGGAGTCTCAACGGTGTTGAGGTCTGCAATTCCACCTGTAGCGGCCACGACAATGATGCCCGAAAAGAACATCAAGGCCAGCGCCGTGACAACGAACATAGCTTTATGCCACAACATGATAGGGTTGCGTAAGCTATATCAGTAGTTTGCGAGCGAGAAGCTTAGTGTGTTGCTGTGGTTGAGATGGGTGAGGGAGAGACAGGATCTTTTCTTCTTTATTGTAGGTGAAAGAAGAAGGAGCTGGGCGAACGGAGAGAAGTGCCTCCCAAGAGGGGTCCTTTACCCAGTGTGAGGCAAGAGGGTGGACTGGAAGAAACCAGTAGCCAGATTTGGGGGTGAATTTTCATTATGTCTAGCGGCACCTATCACGTGTGTATATTCACTGACTTACACTTGGTTTGATCAAGAAGCCTACGCAAAGAGTGAGGTGGCAGAACAGACTGGAGAAACGGTATAGGGATGGCACAACCCAAGCATGTACCGAAAGTCCTATGAAAGAGCCCATGGCAAAAATTGTGTTTGTGTGACCTCTCTTGGAAGGCAATCAGAAGGCGCAAACACATCTCTAGGCAAATCCTCTGCGCAGGTAGCAACTATGCCTCTCGAGAACGTAGGCCCTGCTGAATACAGCAAAGTACTCAAGGCTACACGTTTGATTGACACGTTGGAGGACATAACAGGCTTGCTCAATCAACTTCACCCATAAGGAATGGACGTACGAGTTGGCTGAGAAGTCTCTTAGATAGCGGTCAACCGAATGGAACCATTTACTATGGAGAACAATGGATTCCTTGAGTAAGAGAACTTTCAATTCTCGTAAAGTGTTATTAAATTCAGAAAAATCCTCGATGCCATCATGGATACTCTATTTGTACCATGTCGTACAGAACACAAAGTTCTCCCTTACAGCTTAGGCGACGCAGAGGGCTCCTCAAACTCAACCACAAGTTTGCCAAACTGCTTGCCCGCTTCCATATCCTTGAACAGCCCGTCAATGCCCTCGAGGTTCGTCAGTCCCTTGACCGTTCGGCTGACAACAGGCTTAATCTTCTTCTCCCTCACAAAGGCAACCATGTCTCTAAACTCCTCTCGGGAACCCATAGTCGTGCCCTTGAGCTCCACATTCTTGAGCACAGCCTGCATCAGCCAGTCCATCTGCGGCGACACCGTCATGCCGTACTGACTAATGACACCGCCGGGCTTGAGCACCTTAACCGCCTTTCCCACAATCTCTCCGCCGGCACCGTCGACCACTGCATCGAGGTACGGCCGCGACTTGGGCAGCTGGGCCTGCAGCTCCTTCTCCCACCCCTTCTTCTTGTAATTCACGCCCCCGGCGGCGCCCATACTCTTGGCCTTTTCAATCTTGGCCTCGTCGCCAGAGGTGACGTA